CAATCCGGTGTCTGGTCCAGAACGGTCAAGCGCTCCTCAGTGCTGCTTTTGGCTGAAGTCCATGCCTTGACAAATGCTCCTCTAACCCTCTAAGAGAGCTCTGCGCAGCTGGGTACCCAGGACCGTGTCATACTTATGTGTTTGTGAGCCTGTGGGTGTGTGGACAGAGCAGGCTCGAGGCTCTGAGAAACCAGATGAGGGTCTTATAGCCCCCCAGAGCCTCCCCGGTGGTTGCACAACAGGGAAGGAGCGCCGCGTCACGCCTCCATCATTACAGCAGAGGCTGAGCCGGACCTGGACGCGCGCCAGCCTCTGCAGAGACAGAGAGAAGAAAAACTCTCTCCCGTTGGTTGTCATTACCTCCCTCGCAGATCATTTTAGCGAGAAAATGAGAAGATTAAGAAAAGACGCAGAGAAGAGTCACAACTTTTAGTTTTATGCGCGCAGCCGTGCGCCACACCTGAGCCAAAACGAATGAGACAGCGACGTGTTTGAGGTGTGAAAACCCGGAGTGGGCTGGAGTTTCTCTGTGGCCTGAGCGCGGCGGGCTGCAGTTAATTAAGGCGGCCTCGCACTTTGTGTCATGTTCGCTCTGCCTGCGGTCAGATAAGCCATGGGAAATATTTACTCTGTCTCAGCGGAAGTCCAGCCAGCCACCGGGGGCAGAGGGAGAGGAGGGGAGGGAAGCACGGCGTGGAAGATGGATGAGGAGGAGGACGAGCTGAAACTGTGAGGAGTGAACGAGGAGATGAGAAGGCAAAAAAACAAAACAGAAAAAGAAAAAAAAGAGGAGCGCAAGCGGAGATTCCCTCCAGTGGGTTTTCATTAAAGCCTCTGGTTCAAGTTGATGAGGGATGCGCGCAAAGCTCCACGGCCCCTTTTGATCAACGGCGCGTGCGTGCGTGCGTGGCCCTCGAAAGTGTGCAAAGTGTGCAGCCATGCCTCGACGTTTAATTTCGGCTCGGCGCAGCGAGTTGTCGGAACATCTGTTTACACGCGCGCGTAAACGCGGTCCGCCGCGCATCTGTCAGGACTGGACACGTCCCGATAGCCGTGGGAAAGCTTGACAGAGGGGGGATGAGGGATGGACACGCGCGGGGGGCTGGAAATGGTGAAGGCCGGACGACGCAGAGCTCAGCTGTTGCGTTCTGGTTGGATAAAAAAAAAAGAAATTGAAATCAAGAATGCGTTGTATGTGGCAGAACAGTTTTAAAAAATGGAATTGTTATGCTTTCCAGAGCAGAAACTCCATGTGAGTGTTCTTCCGCTGGCATGCTGGGCACGCACAGTTGTTCTCCCACATGTTGATTCTTGGTCAGGACTCCCTCCAAAAAGTTCATCAAAACAGGCCCCGCTCCGGCTTCTTGGCCCAAAACTCAACTGTCACGTCCGCCTCCCCAAACTTAAACCCAGTTCCATCGTGGAGCTAAAACCACGTTTTAATCCTCACAGAGATCTCCCCTGGTAGTTTGTAGTCCGATCATAAAATCAGCCCTGGCAGAATTGGACGCGGAAAGGCAAACATAAACACGCAGAGACCGACGGGAGCCAAAGGCCCTCAGACGGACATTTCGGCCGGGCCGGCCAACAGAAACAGCAGATTAAGACGTTGGAGCTACGTTTTGATCAGGGAACATCATTTTGATATGACAAAATAGAGCAATTCTGCATTACAGTGCAGACATTTAACCATCCAGAAGGCAAGGCCTTCATATCTATCCATTTTTTACTACTTTTCCATGTTTTTTGGACGGTGGGAGGAAGCTGGGGGACCTGGAGGGAACCCACCGGGACACAGGGAGGACATGCAAACTCCAAACAAAAAAGTCCCCCGGGGACTCCAACCAGTACCCGGGGACCATCACATGAAGACATGTTTTTCTCAAAAGCGAACTCCTGTTTCAACCAAATGGAATATACAGTATATTATTATCAGGTCCCAAGAATTTGAAAAGAATTTTAAAAAATACTAAAAACAACAGAACAGCGTATCTTAGAAGAGCAATGATGTCCGGTTAATCTACACAAAGCTTGAAAACAATTAATCTAAATAGCCTTTGTTGTACAGTAGGACTGCTCAATACTTTACTTAGCAACACAGTGAATGCAGCAAGGCCTGTTCGGAGAACTCTTGGGTTTTTTTTTTAAGGGTGTTGTCACACCTCCACCATGACTGAGTGAAAAGAAATATCAAAACGAGGGTGCCTGTCTCTGTCAAGCCCCAAAACATTCAATCTCCTTCCACTTTATCGGCCTCCGTGACCTGCGTCCAACACTCCAACAGTGGAATCTCACTCCATCCGATCTGCACAGGAAAACAACAAGCCTGTTCGGTTTGGGTTTTTTTCAAGCCGCAGCGGTTTGGTTTCGCTTAAGCAACAAACATCAGCATCAGCCTGCAGAAAAACTCAAAAGTCAGGCTCCGACTGATTTACGGTTCAGGCGTGTGCGTCGGGCGCGGGGGCGGTTATGTGCGTGTTTTTGTGTTTATGCGTGCGATCCAAACACAGGAATTTAGTGACAGGCCGTGCCTGTACAGGCAGAAGATAAGGGGAGCAACAGAGCAGAGAGCATCAAACCCCAACTTGCAACACACCCCTGACTGGACATCAATCCCACAGCTAATTTATTTTTTCTTCCACAGTGTCTCGATTAAAAGCGTGACATTTATTTCTTTATTTCTGCTCCCACGGTTTGCCAAAAGGGTAGTTTCCTTTCTTCGCTTCGTCTGTGCTCATTAGGCTAAAATGTGAGTGCTGCAAAGCGGGGGGAATTTTTGCTGTAACCTGAAAAGTTTTGCAGCTAAAATCAGAGAAGTCTTTAATAGCTAATTACCCAAATTTGCCAAACAACACAGAGTCTACATTTTGTTCAGCGTGTTTCAACACATCGGACTGCGGACATCACAATTTTAAAGGGGAGAAAGGAAGAAAAAAAAGACACACTGAGCAGAAATACATGGGTATATATGTATATATGTGTATATATGTATGTATATATTTATATATTCGCATCAGAAAGCATTTATTATGAAATGGTTTGCATAACTTGTGTTTATGTTTGTTGCTGATAAATGTGCTATCTGTTTATTTGATGGTGGGGGGGCCCATGAGAAGATAACTGCAGCCCTCCCAAAGTCCTCTGTGGAAAATCTGGTTCACAGGGTTGAAAGGTGAAAGGTCAGAGCTGTCCCTTTGCTTCCTCTCCGTTTCTCAAATATATATATATATTTTTTTTTTTAAGTAGCCAAAGCTATATATGTTTAACAAGAAAAACGTCTGTGTTTTAATACCCGCTCACATCATATGGTGGATGTTTTTATGTATATACGTGTGGCAGCTCGGGGGCCTGAATGACAGTCTGGTCTTAATTTTAGTTGTGAGAACATTACTGTAACCGCTGTCTGTGGGGGATGCTGTGAGGAAAGGGGCCCGATCTGTGGAGGCGACCCTCCAGAGGGGTGAGATAAAGCTATAGTTAGCTTCTCATCTTGCCAGGGGAGGGAATGGGGCTCCATGCAACACAATGCCCGTCCTTCCTGACAGTGTTTTCCCGCGTTCCCCTCCCACTCGGGCCGAATTCTCTTTTGAATTAAAACAGTAAGTTCATTGTGGTTTTTATTAGAGTTCTGACACGATCGTTGCTGCTGGGACTTCGTTTTAACGTGAAGGTTTGATGGATTGTTGCAAAAAGGAGGAGAAAAAACAAAACACTTTCCTTAGCTAATGGTCTCCGGGGCCTGGCTCCCACATGTGAGCGTTACATGGGAGAGAGTATCGGCTTCTTATTGATCTTTCTCCATTTACTCACACACATGTGAACGTCAGCCCTCACAAAAACATGTGGCCTCAGGGGTCACGACACGCAACCGTTTATGAGGTCCGTTTAGAGGTCCCGCTCCGGTTCCTCAGAGGAGCCGTAAAGGCTTTGTGAAGATGTGAGCAGATCCCTCTGCAGCCTCTGGAAATAAGCGAAAACATGTGGTGCCAGAAAGCGCTCTGCGCAGAACACATTACAATTCCCTGGGCTGATGGCGTTTACCAACAAAACCATTTCCTTCACTAAATCTGAGCATGAAGTTCTCTGGAAACAAAAGCACATTCTCTCCCTCGGAGCCAAAGTACGAGGACAAAGGAAAATGACCTGGACCTTACACAGTGTTGCAACACTTTTTTTCCTTCCCCAACCATTATCTGGTGTTAAAAATCAGTAAAATAGTACATTCTCAGTTTTTTTTTTATATTACGCTACTTGTTCTTTCCACTCTTTTTTCTCCAATCTTTCCACTTTAAAAAAAATTTTTTTTAAACCCGAGCTCCTAATTATGGAGCAACCTTAAGTTAAACCTTAAGTTTTGATCTGTCACTGAAAAGTCAGAAAAGCTAAAGAACTTGCCAATGTTTTGGCAAGAGAAGCCAATTTATGACAACATTTGATACCATAAGCTGAAGTTTCCAGAATCCAGACCTTATGAATCTGTCCCCCTCCCCTGAGAAATCAGTTGAAGAGGACACCACATCAGTCCAAGAAAATAGAGATTTAATTAGAGTTCCTTAATCAATCAAGTGGGGACAATCACTGACACAAAATGGAGCAGCACTAGTCCATTTAGAATCTGTGCAATTTTACCTTCAAGACGTACGAAAGAACAATAAATAACGGCCTCCTTGATTGTGACAGATATAGCAACAAAAAAAGAAAAAGGATGACGCAAATAGAAACCGCTTAACGATCTGCTTTTTCTGATGAAAACATAATCGGGGTTTTTCCGGGCCGTCGGTCCAATGCAAACCTGCTGGATGTTTTCTGTGGAAGTGGAACCAGTGTGGGCTGATAACTGCCACTGGAAATGTTGATGAAATACTTTTCTAATGGTGGCTGCCTGCAAAATTGGCCTTTTTTTCCTTTATTTTTTAAATCTTTTTTTTCTCTTTCAAATGCAAAACGGTGCAGTGTTCGTTAGCAAGCGTACAGGAGAGGTGGCAGTGTGGAACAGCCTCTCAGCTGCGTGTGCTGTACAGGTCCTCATCCTCTGGGCTGGACTGGCCAAAGTCCATAATAGCTGGGTCTGGCTTGAAACCAGAGCCCTCTGGAGGGAAACAAAGGAAACGACAGATCATCTCAGTGAGGAGCGGCTTCACAGGCCACTGACTTTCAAACGAGTGTAAGAGAACTAAACATGGCCGGATTACACAGTCTATTACAGCAATCTTTAAAAAAAAAAAAAAAGGGGGGGGGTGTTTGGGCCACACCAAAGGAGAGGTGCACAGCAGTACCTTCTTTCTTTTCCGTGTCCGGCTGTTCAGGAGCCGGTGGGGGGGGGCTCGGGTTTGGCGTCTGAGGCTCGGGGGCAGGATCGGACTCTGCGGGCGCTGTGCCAAATGCAAAAACCACAGAATCAGAGCCATGGACAAACAAGTCTTACACACGGAACAGAGCGGGCGGTTTCAGAAGGCTCAAACTGAGACCTCGGCACCCTGTTCCAGAAGTTGTCGTCACTTCTTTACTACCTGCTGCTGCATCTGAAGTCTCTGGAGCCTCTGGAGTCTCTGGAGTCTCTGGAGCTTCTGAAGGAGCCTCTGGAGCTTCTGAAGGAGCCTCTGAAACCTCTGGAGCCTCTGGAGTCTCTGTAGCTTCTGTAGCCTCTGGAGCTTCGGAAGGAGCTTCTGAAGCCTCTAGAGCCACTGAAACCTCTGGAGCCTCTGAAACCTCTGGAGCCTCTTCAGCCACCGGAACCGCCTCCAAGCTGGACGTGGGCTCAGCTGGCCTGGTGTCAGTGGGGAGGTGGTCTGCTGCCTGGTTTGCTTCAGAGGCTTCAAGACCAGAGAAAAACGTCAGATTTAGTTGTAATTTTTCCAGACTATATTTCCAAACATAACTAACACGGATATGCCGCTTGGTTCATCTGATGCGTCCCGACTGTTTCTGCCTTTCTAATGCTGTGTGGCTCCCCTCTGCTGCTGTGAGAGCAGCTCGGATCCATTAGGATCACGTACAAAGACACCAAATGGCATCATCTTTGGTTTGGAAAGGCAGTGGAACGTGGGTCTGACCTGTGGGCTGGTCTGAGGCCTCCGGAGCAGATGTAACTTCAGAGGACGGGGCAGACTGGACCGGGGCGGCCTCGGCTGTCTCTGGCTCTGAGCTCGGCGTGGGCTCGGCTGGCTCGGCGTCTGCGGCGCCTCCGTCTGCTGCTTGGCGGTGGGGCGAGAGGACGTTTAGCAAAAAGGAGGAGGAGGCACCGGACGACGGGGATGGATGGATGCAAACCTACCCGCGGCGCTCTGAGCCGGGGCGCCATCGGGAGGCGATTCTGTGAGAGGCAGCGATGGCTCCTCCTCTGGGGAGACGTTCACAACGGGCTCCACGGAGGCCGGGGCAGATTCGGCCGACTCCACTTCGGCCTCTGGTGTCGCTGAGGTTTCGGTAGTGGAATCGGGGGCTGGGACGTCCTCAGCCGTGGGGGATTCTGCTTTTGGTTCAGTATCTGACTAACAGCATGTGGATTTCAAAAAGAAAACAAAAATGAATTATGCCAAAACAACCCTCTGACGCCTCCAGTGCATAAAGAAGAAACGACTGGGATCTTTTGAACATTTCAACAGGACGCACTACGTGTTTAGCTGACATTAGGAAAGGAGCCTTTTTTATCCTTTACTTGTTTTCCTCATTTAAAGGGACGGATTTAAAAAAACATCCACTGAAGAAGAGACAGAGGGGAATTTTTGACTGAGTAAAATCTGCAGAAGGGGAAATCATGCAGTGGGAAGGGAGTTACCGCCGTGTGAAAGTAAAACCGAATGATGTTCTTTCAGTTCTCAGACTAACTGGAGGAATCCGAACACCACGTTCATGATGTGCATGTTTAGTTAGAAAAAAAAAAAGAAGAAGACAGGAAGCCTACCTTTGGCTGTGCAGCTATAATCTCCTTGGCAACAGGCTCCTTGGAGGCCAGCAGTGACGACACGGCAGCGCTGCTCCACTGACCCGCGGCGTACGCCTTCTTTCCCGTCACCTTTAGAGCGCAACACACTGAGCTGACGTCGGCTGGTGAAAATGCTGCGACCGGTAAACTTTAAAGACGCCTCGGAGTTACCTTGAGCACGGCCACAGTCTGGGCCGGGTAGCACACCGACGCTCCAGCGCTCATCAGGCCCAGAGGGACCGCCAACCTCCTAAGACTAGAGCCTGAGAGGAAGTTTTACAGAACGGAACAGCAATTAATGCTGGTCACCTGGACGTGGTGTGTTATGGCTTATATAGATAGTGTCTTTAACAGTATTAAATCACACTGGAGGCTCAAAATGCATCCAAACCCAGGCAATTAACACAGCTCCCTTCATACAGAGATGAAACTAACATCGCTCTGAACCATAAGGGGTAAATAGAAAAGGCTTATTATCGAAGATTGGCGTTTGTGTTTCTATTGTGGTGTTTCTTTGTCACCAACGCAAAAGTAAAAAAAATAAAAATAAAATAAATAAATAAAAAAAAAGATGTTAGTTCAGGTCAGAGATAAAAACTTGCGTTTCACGCGAAAAGGTCTGAAACGCACTTGAAGTGACGTCAGCTGTCGGAGTAGGAGTAAAAATGTGGGTAAATGAATGAAAGGACAAAGTGTCTGGGTCTAAAAGTGCGCTATTTTAAGCCGTGCTTAATTTCCAGAACCAAAACCACATGTATGCGAAGACGTGCCTGCTCGGCTGAAACTGCGACGGCTCAATGGGAGAGAGTGCACCCCGAGGACAACGTCGCACAACTGCATCATCAGATCTTTTATCAGTTTAGGGGAATTTTTTTTTTTTTTTTAAACGTGCTTTGCTTCATCTGAGGACACCGTGTTCATAGTTTTCTGTAACGGGTCGTTTTTTTACCCATAAAAACATACTCTGTGCCGAGTTAAATGACGGCAGAAGCTTTGGCTCAAACACAAACAAAAGACTCTGCGCAGCAGCTAATTACTGTGGATACGACTGAGGAGGAGGAAAGGTTTGAGCAGCACTGTTATTTATTTAATAAAGCCATCTGTAGGGTTGTCAGCAGAGGGGGGGGGGGCGCAGTGAGATGAGGGCGCAAAGATCTTTGATCATTACACACTGCTGTGGTTCCTGACCTCAACTGGAGGCACGTACTGCAAGTGATGTGGAGACGTGCCCAAAGTCTGCACGCATTGGTGCACGTGGCCGGATGACAGAGACTGGGGGGGGGGGGGGGGACTTACCTTTTCTGGCCAAGAACATGCCAAGCAGGCCAGCCATGGTGATGGTGCCAAATCTGGGTAGAAACCCCGGCGGTGGGTCAATCAGGTAATAGTATGCATCTAAAAAAGATGAAAAAATAAAAAAAACAGGCAAAAGACGAGCTTCACTGGCGTGACTGTGATATGTGATTTACTACAGTATGTAAAGAGAAATGCGTACAGCCAGAAAACTCCTCTCTGGAAATGAATGTGGCAGTCTCATATCACAAGATCTACACATCTCGTATTCTCTCATGTTCTGCTATAGAGCACCTAGACTCCCGCTGTAGACTCACCCTCTCCTGCGTGATAAAGATTTACACTTCCCCTTTTCACAGAGACGCAGGCACCCTGCAGGGAACAAAGGACAAAAGTGAAACCACTACAAAGAGCTATCAAGAGCAGAACCTTCGACGTGGCAGTGAAAACGGATACATCTGACTCAGTGCTCAAGGTTCTTTTTTTTTTTCTTTCTTTCCCCCGTTTTTCTTTTTCCCCTGCTTCCACGGCATCAAACCGTGTCATGTGCTCTCTGCAAACCCTACTGCATCGACACTACTTCCTGTCATACTCCTAAAGCACTCTGCAACACTGTACCAGTGCTCAGCACCTGCGGCTCGAGGGATTTTGCTCCGAAACCGCAGGCAAGAGGAGCAAAGAAAACAAAAAAAAACAAAAAGCAAACATAGAAAGATGAAAAAAAAATCAAGGCTTGTAAATTATGGTTACAGGTGCACAACCAAGAGCGTTTAAGCATTTATAAAAAGCTAAAGGGGCTTTTTGTTTGTGCTCAATGTGCCACTGAGGATGTGGTAATAAGAGTTATTTCTGCTAAGGCTGCTATCTGTGAAGCCTTAGTTTGACTTTGATACCTTGACAGATTGGACAAACGGCACCACACGCTCTCTGATTGCTGTTAATCGTCTCTCAATGACACCGGGATGCTCTGGAACAAACTTGGCCTGAGCAGAACCCGGCAGCGGCGTGTAGATGTTCAGCTGGGGAAGAGAAAGCACAGAGAGTCAGCGCGAGGTGCAGCTGCAGCCGGGTCTTCTGCGGGTGTAGACCATCACACCTTCTCTCGGGAAACCAGTCCTTCGGCGGGCGCTTCGTCCACAGTGTACACGCGGATGGAGGCTATTCCCAGCACCGTCGGGACGGCCACCATCACCACCTACAGCAGAGGAAAAAGACATTTCTAAATGTGTTAGCAGAAAGTACTGACTACCTGATGCCTGTGAGCCTTCAGTGGAACAAGTGGGGGGAGATCAGAAGCTGCTTGAGCAGTGGGCACACTCAGTTCCTCCAATCAGAGATGAGCTGGAGGACAACACCCACTTTAGATGGGCTCAGTGGGCTTCTATGTGCCGAGAGAAAAATCTCAGACCTAAATGTATTTTATTCTTAAGTGTGTCAGTTAGATACTACTTCATTTTTGTACCATGACCTAAAACTCACAGCACAAACCCATTCCTTAGAACCATCAGACCAAACTGAGAGTCTTGCCACTACATCTCAAGTTAGATCATTTCCTCCATTTTATTCTGCTTGAATTTCTTGCTGTAAAGTCAAGCTTCCCCAAAATGTGCTGAAGAATTGGAAAAACGTTACCTATCAAGTAATAATTTGTTCAGTTGTGTTTTAAGGATTCGATCATCTGACATTATGTATTCTGCAACATGCATTGACTGCAGCTTTTGCCTTTGCTTGCAATGATTTGATTTGAGTATCTTTGTTAAATCTAAGGCTGAAATAAAATTAACTAGTGGCGTGATGACGTCACAACTATAGATATTGGACTGGTTATTAATTTGGCCAACTGCCTCCAGCCAGTTTACGCTAGCGGTGTCTCCGCATTGTAAAGAGTGCTCATAATGCTGCCAAACGTGAATATGAAGAATTAAAGTCCAAGCTGTCACATATCAAGACCTAACAGCTGTTACACGTGTCTAAAAGGGGCACATCTGCTAAAACATAGCGCTTCGGTTAAAAACTCATTCCTCTCTTAGCTAGGCTACTTTTGCACGGAGACGCTGGCTGAAGGGTGGCGGTCACTTAACGTCTTCACAGACGGTCTTGGGACAGTTGACCGTACAAACTAACCCAAGCATTCATTGAAAATTCACTGTTTGTGCTGCAGAAACTTTTCCGAAAAGAAAATGTCAAACATTCACCTTGGCCGCCATGACAGCGCTCCTCCTTCCCCTTCTTCTTCTTCCTGGCGGTATCGTGAACAGCTACCTCTGGTCCAAAAGCGGACGGCTATCGCCCCCTAACGGACGGATGAAGCACCTACAGCTGGATTGTATTGCCTCATTTGTGCAGCCCTCTCGCAGTCTCCAACTCACGGTTCTGACAGAAAGCTTTTGACGAGTAACCAGCATCTATGTAACTAAAGTATATGTTGAGTATTAAGCTTTAAAGACAAATAAAATCCCCTCAATACAGATAAAAACGTATCCAATATGTTTATGTTTATGCATTTAGCAGATGCTTTTATCCAAACAAAGCAACTTTCAAAGTAGACACAATGTTACATTTATCATCAATCTGACAATAAGACCTCTAGAGGAAAATCCCTAGTCAGAGTCAGTGGTGACTGAGATAGAGGGAAGTACACAAAGAGTAATAGAGGGGGTATAGAGGTATGGGTAAGAGTTAGTTTGCATGCGTTGACTGTGTGATACAGATGCTCTCACCCGCATGTCTTTTGCGTCCCAGTCAATGACTTCTAGTAGCAGTGGATGCAGAATACACTACAATTTGTCAGATAGGTTTTCACATGTACACAATATGATATATATATGTCTTAGGGCTCATTGGGTGACTCCAAGTTTTCATTTGAAGCTGTTGCTTACTGACATGTACATATTCATGCTACAGTAATAGGTCAGAAAAAACAGAGTAAATGGAACACAGCTCGTAGTGCAGAGGATCCAGTTTATTGAAGTCAAAGTTTAACAACTTAGGTTTACAATCTGAATTTTTTGTAAGATATATATATGTATGTATATATAAATATATATATACACACACATATACATATATATATATTCATATATATGAAACCAAAAAAGGCTACTTTAGGAAGAATAAATGTAATTTTCTTTCTTTTTAATATCATCTTTCGTCACTTTAATGTACAGAATAACAGTAAGCTAATATTATCCTTGAAAAAGAGCAATATGTTCCTTTTTTTAATGTCGCAGTGCAACTTACATCTTACACACCTGTGCAATGTACCATGAGGTGTACACCCCTGAAAGAACACACAGTGGAATCTCCCTTTTCGGCTTGTTTCTGCAGGTCTAACACACAAAAGGATCTGGGAGGGATAACACAGTCAAGTGCCTACAACTGAAAACTCTCACAGCTGCTTCATCTACAGTGTGCCGCCCGCTCCGCAGAGCAGCGGTTGGAGAAACAGAAGACCAGCGCTAAAGATGAGAAATGGAGAGAGAGAGAAAGTCTACAGACTGTAACTGTATCATAAGTCTTCTACAGCTGCGTGTGCACGTGTTTGTGTATGTGTGAGAACGCCATTACAGCCAGTCCTTTGTTGCCAGAGAGAGGGTTGGGAGGCACAGGGAAAGTGTTTGCATCATTTAGTTTTCTGTTGTGGTAGTCTTAAATCAACCGTCGGAAAACAAAACCAAAAAAAACACACACACATTTGTGGTGTGTTTGATATTTCAATTCAGTGTGAACCGATGGAAAAAACTCTCACAAGAACAACAGTAAAATCTGAAGAATCAGGACGACAGTGCTGGGTGCAGCAGGAGCTACATGTCTCTCAGAGTCTTGGACACTGGGGGGCAGCATTGAGTCCTTGGCCTTTTTATTTATTTTTTTAGTAAGGATGACATGATTCATCCCTGTATTCACAGACTAGAGAGGTTGTAGAGAATTTTGAGGTTTACAACCGCCTTGTGTCAACCTTGTATTTATCTGGAATGTCACAGTAGGTTTCGTTTTAGAGGTGCACTGCACTGACGACCACATGAAACCGGAACCGCTGATTAAAATCCCACTTATTTGGACGACGAATAAAGATCTGCCCCGGCTCGAGGGACTGAGTGTCAAAAAGATGGCCCCCCCCTCGCTCGTTCACTGTAACCAGCGCGTGTCCTCGAACGCCACCGAACGAAAAGGTTGAAGACCTCAAACTCCCCTCAACAGCACTTTTGCATGTATCATGCGCTACAAGTCTTAATAGTTTTCTTGCAAACATAAGAGGATAGAAAATAAAAAAGAACTAAGAACAAAAATGATCCACAGTATTTTGCCCTGCCCATTCAAACCCGCCCCAGGCCTTTTCCTCATGCAACACATCACCAGGAGAAGGATCGACCGTGACGGAAACCAGTGCAAACTGTCAATCAGCTGTCAGGTGGTGGTGGTGGTTGTTGTCGTTTGTTTCCAAGTTGTTTGACTGCTGAGCACCCTGCATTTACAGAGTGAGGGGGGGGGGGGGGCGACACTGCAAAACCTTGGCATAGAATACATCTTACTTTACATTATATCTATGACACAAAACGTAAATAGATTTATATATTCTCCTATTTTTAAATATACTTGTAGACTGTACACAAATCTTTAGAAAATGAGACGGCAAATGCATTTACCTGATATTTGAAAAGCAATGGCAAAGAGGTTGATGAGACATAGACCCTGTGATGCAGCCAATGAGATATAGAGATATAGAAAGTGCATTCTTTGTAGTGGAGGGACTCCTTTGAAAAGAACTCTGTAGCTCTTGCATTCGCAGTTTAAAGGGGGAAAGAAAAACAACCCTAAAACAACAACAAAAAAATAGAGAAAAAAAGGAAAGAAAATTTGCTTTGCACCCACACAGATACAAACTCTTTGTCTTCCCTCCACTACCTCTAAGAGCATATCACAGTGGTAGTGGAAACGCAAACATTTACATCAGTATACACGGCAGTATAAACATATGCACAAGTCTTTGAGGACTAGAGAGGGAAAAAAACAGAGAGAAATAAGGGAAACAGAGAAAGAGGGAGAGACAGCACAAACAGAAAGTCTAGAACTGCTCTCCAGGAGAGAAACCTCCATCCTCGGGTGAGATGGGAGAGTGCCGAACACTTCACAGTTTGAGAGAGTGTGCTAATGGGCAGCACAGTTGTTTCCCGCTGCTCGAGATTTTTGTGGATTTCCCAGAGAAACGGCTAAAACATATCAACCCGCATTAAGGACCACCTCTCAAAGCCTTACACCGAAGGCACTGTCCTTAATCCCCCTCCGCCCCTCCCGCTGTCCCATGAGATCAGCCTGGATTAACAGTGAGGTCCCTGTAAATGAAGATGTGCAATGAGAGAGAGAAAAAAAAAGAGTGAGAGAAAGGGGGAGAACTGGTGGCTCTGGGTGCAAAGTTCATCGGTACAAAAGTACAGTGCTGTGGTGAAAAGAATTCTCCTCTGTATTGCTGCTACATAACTCCCCCTGCCCCCTGGAAAGAAAAAAAGAGTGAAACGAAGAGAACAGTAATGAAAAAACATGATAAAAAGTCTCCTTTTTTTCTGTTTTGCTCAACAAGCGTGTGTACTTTATGCCGAGTTCCATAGACAAAGGAAGATTAATGCTTTCTCTTCAGGCATGCAACAGGCACCCTGTGGGGTCCTCCGAAGTTCATACACGCAGGTCTCAGACTGTTCCCTCTATGATATTTACACGTCTTACATGTGTGTTTCTGTGTGTGTGTGTGTGTGTGTGTGTGTGTGTGTGTGTGTGTGCGTGTCCAGAGTTGTGATCAGGCGCAACGGTGTAAAGCTGTGTGTGTGTTTGTGTGTGAGAGAGTGTGTGTGTGTGTGTCTGGAAGTGGGCGTGTGTGGGTTCAGTCTTTTGAGCGTCATCCATCCTTTTCCTCACACGTGCGTCTCGATGAAGGAGTGTGTGTGGGTCATGAGAGGCGCGGCCAGCGGGGAGAGCTCGTCCTGGCCGTTGGTGCTGAGCTGGCAGATTTCTGAGTAGAGCTCGCTGTGCCACTGCTTCCACTCCCTGAAGCTCTGGGAGCACAGGCCGGGGTCCTCCAGCAGGGCGCAGATCACCGCCAGCTCCGACTCTTTGGCCTGCGGCAGCACAGAGATGCGGAAATGTTAGCCCTCCCCGTGTCGGATCTCTTCTACACACTGCTGAGTGTAGAGGCTAAATAGCTCTTCTTCAAAAATGAAACATTTTCCTAGCCACTCTTGCAGGACGTGAAGGTTCTGACTCGTTGGTCAGCTTGGTTTAAAAACGTACGCAAGCCGATGTAAAAAAAAAAATGTCAAACTTACAAAAAATTGCCGGCGTAAACCAAAATTTTAACTTTACGGTCAGAAAACAGTTGCTCCCCGCCCTGCTCCATTACCTCTGACAGATAAAACTGCGCACCTCACGTTGCTTAAACTCAGGACATTAACCCTTTAAAGCCTGATCCAAGAAAAAAACAAATAGAAAATAACTTTTTTTGGGTTTTAAGTCTTTATTTGGCCTTTTAATAAAATATTTAAAAAGAAAAAACAGAAATACATTTTTAATATTAATAATTTATTACTATGCGATAAGTCAAAATTATTTTTTGTGCCCCCTGTTATCAGGTGTATCTGATTGTGTACAATTGGATTTTGAGCTAAGTTTACCATTAAATTATGCAAGAGGTGTCAGACGCAAAACATTTCAGAAACCGTATGTATCAAATATGATACATTTGGCATTATAGGGTTAAGTGATAAATCAAAATACCAAATGTAGAAAACAATACAAAACCAAACCAAATACCTCTTAATAAAATAAACAGTATATATCCCTCAAAACTAAATTATTCCAATCAGCAGTAAATAAACAAAATTTCCATATGGCTCTAACAGTGAGCGTTGCAAAAGCCTGCTAACGGCACATTAAATGTGGAACAGGCTTGTCCAAGCGGGAAAACCTCTAAAACCTGCAGGACGGCGGCCATCGAGGACCGGAGTTTAAAGGAAAAAAAGCCCCCCCCCCCCCCCCCCGCTTACCTTCAGGGTGCTGCGGAGGGCTCGGACCCGGTGCAGCCGGTCGTTGAGCAGGGGGTCCCGGGCTCTGTGGGTGAAGCAGCGCCGGAGCTCCTGCCGGCTGCAGGGTCTGGGCTCTCCCAGGGCCGTGACGTTGGCCTGCTCCAGGGCTCGGTAGAGCTGTTCCAGCCCGTCCAGCGCCGGCTCGCGCTCCAGCGGGTCCCGGCCCTCCGACACCCGCCGCTCCCTGCCCTCGGACACCCTCCGCTCCCGGCTCTCCACTCGCAACTCCCGCAGGTCTGAAACAGGCAGCAGAACATGTGGGATTTCGGTCAAAACTGGCACCTGAACCTTCTTCTTCTTCTGCCTTTTTTGGGGTCCTAGCCACTTCAATACACCACTTTCTAATGTGACTGCTTTGTGACTGATACAGTGGGGGAAATAAGTATTTGACCCCTTGCTGATTTTGCAGGTTTGTCCATTTACAAAGAATGCAACGATCTATAACTTTAATCATACGTACATTCTAACAGTGAAAGACAGAATCCCAAAGAAAATTCCAGAAAATCACATCATATGAATTTATAAAAATTGATAACCATCTGATGAGGAAAAATAGGCATTCTTTGTAAGTGGGAAAACCTGCAAAATCAGCAAGGGGTCAAATACTTATTTCCCCCACTGTACATGTTACTTTTTGGCTCTCTTCCTGGTTCCTCACAGATGTTTCATCACAAAGTTGCTCCCTATGTGGAAGTTTTGTCTAACTTTTTAACTTTAAAATGGCTCTTTTGCCACATCGATGTCTGACACCAGAGCTTCAGGTTTTTCTTTTTACTTTCTTCTTTCCCGAACGCGAATTTACAACTGAGCCAGAAGAAGTTTTTAACATAATATTTGGACGCCTCAACAGATCAGTGCAGTTATGTGAACTTTAAGGGCAGTTGGAGTTTAAATGTTTTTTCCCCCATTATTTCTTATCATCTGGTGTTTGTGTTTCATGAACCCTTCTGGTTGAGGCCCACAGCTCTGAACACAATGGAGGAATTTAAATTAAAACAAGTCCTTATTTAAGTCCTAAGTCACGTTCATTCCAATGCTTCTCTCTCATCCCAGCCATGTTTAAAATAACAGCTACAGTAACTGCTTACTTTCAAGCTCAGGCCTTAAGCTTCGGACAAGGCAACTTTTTTTTTATTGTTAATAGATCTAAAATATAACAAAACTTTTTTTTTTCTTGCTAATAAGAACCCAAGCAGGCGTGTGACTCCTACACATCACCTTAATAAAGGTTTCCCGCATGAAAACATATCCTCGATTTACACATTTAGAGTATTTTCAAAGCTCATATTATGCAAATGTATGGGTTTATCAATTCGTTTTAGCAGTCTGTGAGGATACGAGGGGGGGAAAAATAGCAATTTTAGGGTGCTCAACTGTTTGTGCACTGAGTTTATTTGGACTCTTCCTATGGTTGCATTTCATTTCAAGCTGAACTGCCTCCTTTCAGAGCACCAGTCGCTGTTTGTTTTCTTACCTTCCTCACCCTCGAGCATCTCTGCTGCCTGTCCCTCCGCCTCCTCGTCTTCGCTCCTCTCCTCCATGTGGGCCGCGGTGTGCAGCAGCTTCCCCGGCACCGGGTCCCTGTTCCTGGGCAGGCTCTGGCTCCGCTGTTTGTGGGAGCGCCGGTGCGTGTGGCCGTGCGTGTACGGCCCGCGCTCCAGCGGGAAGGGCCCGTCCCGCTCCCTGTCCCTCTCGGCGGCGTGGTGCCTCCGCACGGGCAGCGTGGCCTGCCGGCGCCTCTCCGGGGACATGCCCTGTCGGCCCAGGCCTCCGTAGAAGCCCATCTCCCCCGCCATGCTCCCCATCACGCCGCCGTAGTCGCTCTCCCCCGGGGCCGTCTGCAGGAAGTGCAGCCCCGCGCTGGTCAGCGGCGTCTCGATGAGGTCCTGCCAGGAGCGGCGCTCGCGGTGGGAGGAGCGGCAGCCCGACGAGTGGGTGCTGGTGCTGCCCGTGCCCGTGCCCATGCCCATGCCGTCCCCGCGCTGGTCCTCGGCGGAGGAGTGGGAGTGCGTGGACTCACTGGAGAAGTGGCGCCCGTGCTTGGGCTCCGGGAAAGGGCTAGAAGAGTTGACCTGTGGGTTGAGAGGGGATGTGGAAGACACCATCTGTGGAGGAATGGGGGAGGTGGAGGCACTCATCGGTGGGGGCAGAGGGGACGGAGTGGAGCGCATCAGGCTCACGGAACTGGCCGATCGGGGCAACTGGTCATAACTTTGCAGGAGGTTAGCCTTCACGGGGCCAAAGGGGGAGGCGTGAGGGGCAGTGGTGGACGAGGGGAGTCGGGATGGATAAAGGTCACCGGCAGGGTGGCGGGTGAGATCAGACAGAAGAAAAAGGTGGCGGGCGACGCGAGGACAAGGAGAAGGAGTGCACGGATGGAGTGATGACAGGAGGAGAAAAGAGATGGGAAGGAGTAAAGAGCAGAAAAAGTGTGAAAGGATGGCAGCAAAAAAGCAAGGAAATGGCAGGTGTGGAACTCCAAGACTGACTGACTGACATGGCTGTAATGTGGATCAGCATGAAGAAACATGGAAACATGGATGGTCGCACTGATCAATGAAATCCAGAAGTTTTTAAATGAGCTTGAAAGTGTATTTTCCTCATGTATTGCCGCTGACATTTTGGGGGAGATTGTTTCACGATAGGCCAAGGATTTAGATAACCGTTGTCTTAGAAATACTTTCTAATTACTGTCAAACTGAGTAATATAAGCCTCTTTTTTGTTAAATTCATATAGAATTGTAAAAAGAACGGACATCTGGGCTTGTTTCCTAAAGCCTGTTGCCTCTGAAACTGTCATTTACAAAGATAGAACTGCTAAATTGGTGGAAAAACAAAAAACAAAACAACCGGAAGAAAAATTAAAGACCCTCAGAAACACTGGAGAAGTATGGGTGAATAGTCCTTTAAAGATCACACAGAAATCTGATTGGTTCTTTGATTAAAAAAAAGAAAAAAAACACAGATATGAGGGTGGCTTGTGACACTAGGCAGAATGGAACATGTCTGCACATCCACACAGTAAGTGGACATGGTCTTTTGTCGCCACCTGGTGGTCAGACTGAGTAACACGTCTCACAGCAGTGAGAAAAACTGTGGTCCTGGCTGCTTACAAAACCAGAAAGTCCCACACTGTGATGTTTTATTAATGCTGAGAGCTCTTGTCTGCGCAGCTCTGGAAACCGTAGGGCTTTTAAGACTAAAATATTCCATCAGAACGAAAACCCTGCACAGTAACTCTCAAATGGGCCTGAATGGGTGCGTGCGTTACTTACTGATGGCGTGCGGTGGTAAGTATCGCAGAGGGATGTGGGTCCCTCCTGTTTTAGTGTCATTGATCCATCAACATCATCTTGATCGCTCTCGCTCCAGTAGTCTGATGCGAAGACAAACACAAGCACACTCATATGAATAAGTGAACACCGAGTCTGAGCGCATCACTTCTACTCAAGGCGCCCCGTTTCACCTTCATCGGGGCGTGGCACCTTGTCATCGGGTGTATAGCCAATAGCAGCGAGCCCCAGCCGGTTCATCCACCTGCAGGAAACAAGGAAAGTTAGAAAAGAATGATAAAAGGTCACGAAAAGGCATGCGTTTTAGGGATGGATGGAAAGTAAACAATGGACTATAACGGCTACATTTTACTGAAAATAATTCCAAGCAGCGTCTTTTAACCGCTGATGTCTTGTTCATGCTTTAGCCCTGATGAAGGGGGAAAAGATCTGTGATCACTCGAGAAAGCTCAGAGGGAGAAAAAACATCCTTGGTTCTTAATTTTCTCGGAAAAAAAGAGCCCCAGCTGCTTTTTCCAATTCGGCTTTGCAGTCACACGTCTCTTCTGCAGATCCCGGCTTGTCCTGCGCGCCTCCACAGAAACCTGATAATAAGGTCACAACTAAGAATAGAGGTCCCGTCTTTACATGTGGAAGAGGAAGCTCATCGAGGAAGTGAAATCTCCAATACAATTACCCACTGAGCGGCCTTCACCTTCAGAGAGATTGCTATTAACTGGAGTTTCGCCAACTCTGACACACTGAAAGGGACTTGTACAAACAGCTGTCTGTGAAGTTCGTGAGGTGGATAGTAGTGCAGCAGACATTCGACAATGAATAATTGCATTCAGAAATGACGCAAGGGGACGAGGACGAGGACGAGAGCCTTTCTATTTAGCCTTGATTAGCTAAGACTAGAACGGTAGATCCTTTGAAAACCAGCTAACTGTCATAGGCAAGATGAGGGACTTTCCATTGCAGATCCTCATCAACATAATCATCAACATAAAGAAAAAAACAGCCCAAATGCAGCACTCATTAAAGCCTCTCCAATGTTGCAGCAGTCTTTGCTTTACAAATCTATGCTGTTTTACTTAAAGACTCAAAAGAGGGGGTCAAAAGGTTAACATGCCAACATCAAATTGGTTGACCAGACGGAAAACAGAGCAAGCGAAAGTTTATACACTTTAGGCTTGACTTAGGGTTAAGTTAATAAATGGTACCAAGTTGCCCTTTGAAAAACCTCCACAGGAAGTCCGGTGTGAAAGTTGGAAAGATTTTCCCTCTCGCACACGACTCCATTTTAATAACATTTCTGAGAGAGGCTGGAAAATGATTTGTCCATTTGCACTTTAAATGCCTCAGATCGCCAAGCCGGTGTCTGCAGAAATAGATGTGCCTCAAATCGAGTGCTTTTTGAGAGCGCATGCAAATGTAATCATCCAAAATGATATGCGAGAAAACAATGCCTTGCATCTCTCAGCACCTCACGACGACATCAAGAACACTGGGCCGAAGATTTTAAGGGCCGGTGGTGGTGGCAGAGCTAAGGTTGTGCTACAGTTTAGACAGTAATGATTTTTGCTCCATGTAGCAGACCAATGGCTCCTTAATCATTCAGTAGAATAATGTCAATTAAAGCCAAAGAAAACGCACGCAATAACAGGACTCTGTAATGAATGCAGTCTTGTTAAAAATATGGAAATCTTCTTAATATGAACATACATTAAGGATTCATGCAAATGCATCAAATTCAGGGTTCAATCTTTCCGTCCGTGGTACATTTAGCAGCGTGATGGGTTTTAAAAAATGCATAGGAGAAAATATGGAGTGCAAATGTGTGAAGCTCTTAAGAGTGGCCTTTTGACCCGCCGTGGCCTCTGATTGTTGGGATAGATGCGCAGAAAGTCTATTGACAGACACTTGCTCCCAATCTAAATTCCAATCGATTCTAAGTGCTCCAAAAAAAAAACATAAATAAAAGCCGTGAGAGCGCGAACGCCATCATCCATCTTTTGGCACGCGACGCGCATGAAAAACGCGCGCCACACTCACACAGACGCAGCGGCGAATGTGGTGCGGAAGTCAAATATAGCCGGTTAATTACTCTCCCCCAATTATCTCCCCATGTCATTGAGGAGAGGTGTGGATAATTAGAGCTCATCAGATCGCGCTCCTGCAAATATCACCACAATCTCCCACTCGCACCATGAGCGCACGTGACATGACACACAAACTCAAACACATCACCGGGTCTGCGTTTAACAGCGGAGGGCCGGATCCATGCTTTATTTATTTATGCACTGTGTTGTGTTGGTGGGCTGTTGCTTTGTGTAAACTTGTTTTACTCCGTTAAAATATTCAAGAGGGGAACACGTGACGTCCCCCCAGCCTCTGCGCATTGCCCACGCTGAGGAATAAACACGTTACGCACACGCGCTCACCTGTTCATTTCCTCAAGACAGTCTGTGGCGAAGAAGAAACTCTTGATTTTGGGATGGCAGGCTTTGAAGGCACTGCAGTCAGGCAGGGAGAAGAAGGCTGATTAGCTTTTCATGCATGCGCAGTGGGCTCGCGTGCATTTGCGTTGTGCAAGTGAGAGCAAATGTGCTTGATTAGTAATTCTGGCGACATGTGAGGGGCACTCACAATTTCCGTCTGCACTCTATGGCTCTGTCTATTCTGAACTCTGGGAGGCTGATGAAGCCCTCAGCCTTCTCGTCCTGCAGGCACAGACAGATGGAGAGTGGTGGTACATCATCAACACAGGATGAAATGTCAGCCATACTGATATGTTAGTTTTGTTCGGAGTCGTGATACTGGATTAAAAAACATTGAACGTTCATACTGGCCAGGATGGAGTCAGTGTCCCTGAACAACATTTAAAAAAGACAGAATTCATCTTCCTTATTTCTAAAGTATATATACATTTATAAATATAAATATACAATACAAATATAGATATATTTGCATGTAAGTTTTGTTAAAGTTTGCTTAAAAAAGATCTCTTTTATTACATCTCTTGTGCTGTTAAAGCTCTTTAAAAGATAAAGATATCAGTTATGACCAATTGAATTGGACCTACGTTAGCAAACAACCAGTGGCACATGAAAACAGATTTTGCATGACAGAGAAATATATAAATATGTGTGTGTGTGTGTGTGTGTGTGTGTGTGTGTGTGTGTGTGTGTGT